GATCTGAGCACTTTATTGACCTGAAATACAAAATTCCATGATCTGCAGATTTCATGTCTGGTTTGGGTTTTTTCCCCCAATTAAACCTAACCTGCTTGATAAAATATGTCAGCACAAGATGGAAAGGTCACAATGTGTGACAAGTTTGCGTTACATCTATAGTTTTGTCCAGTTCACAGACAATTAAAAATCCACCCCACAGAGAGCACTACTCTTGTTTCTCCTTTTTTTGTTTCCTCTTGCCTACAAGGTAGCAGAAAGAGATTCTGTAGCAGTCATAGCTTCAGTCTACCCTTACTTGTATTTTATGCCAAGAAGAGCTACTGCCACATTTTTCTCATCTGCGAAGAGACTGCAATTTTCTCTATTTAAAAAAAATAAAATCAAAAATTGTAAAAAATTATTTACCTTGTTATTTTATGATGCAGGAGGAGCAGATAAAGACTGAGATTATCTTCACGATGCTGTTTCTGCTCGAATCCTGGGGCCCTGCTTCATAGTGTATTCTGTTCTAAGAAACATGGTTGGCAATCATGTTCCACTGAAACAAGCACTCCAGTTTTACAGCTCTGGAAGGCTAGGGGTAGTTGGATTTTTTTCCTCTCAGGTGGAATTCACAGAACGGTTTGGGTTGGAAGGGACCTTAAAGCTCATCTAGTTCTACCCCCACATGTCACAGGCAGGGACACCTTCTACTAGACCAGGCTGCTCAAGGCCCCATCCAGCCAATTTTAGAATTGGAAAATTTCTGAAGGTGTGTGAGGAGACTGTGAAGCAGAAAAATAATTTCCTTATAAGCGGCAGTTCTAGCTTCTCTCAATAAACTGCCTTCTCCCTCTGAATTGTGCTTTGACTGATCTCAGAGGCAACATGAAAGTTTCTTACGCCTAAAGACCGAACCTGGAAAAGCAACAAGACAAACTTTAACTTACCTCATTGCACAGAAGACAGTTTTCTGCAGAGTCCAGACTCTTCTGTTCCATGCCAGTATTGGTAACCTGTGGGTTTTCCCTTCTCTCTTCAAAAACAGGATGTCAGGCAAAGGTGTCCTGTGAAGTCCACGAGTTTGGCTTGTCAAGTCCTACAACAGTGTGCTTGAGCTTGCATTTTTATTTTCATTTTGGTATTCAATTATGCATGCAGGGACTTGTTTCTTTCTGAGATTTAATTTTGCTTCTCTTGCTGCATTTAATAAAGTGATAGTTTCAGCCAGGTATGAGCTTGGACTTTGCTAACAGGGGGTTCAGGAACCAAGATACTGCCAGGGAAAAGTAACACATAAAAGTCATGCTAGTTTCAGTGTCACGCTGAGATGTGATAAACTTCACACATTGTGGAGTTTAGACTGACCTTAGCAAATCCCTTCAATAAGATTCACCTCCTCGAAAGAGTTCTTTGGGCTAACAGTTAACGTATCTTCATGCCAAATTCCTTCACATAGGTCCTCATCCTAATAGTTGAAATTAAAAAAGTGAGTCGATATTTAAAATTCAACTCACTGATCTACCTTGGTTTGTTTTGTTTTGCTTTGGCTATGGCACCTAGACTTTGTATCCCCTGGAAATGGAAGGGGTTTAGACTTTACAAGAGTGGAAAACAATGATTTTGAAAAGCTAGTCAGCACTGTTAGGAAAGGGAAGGTCAGACCACCGAAAACCACGTGGAAATAATCAAATCGTGGGATAGAGATGATCAGACAGCAATGGAAGCCAGTGTTGGAATGCACCTATTTCTGACTTATGTATTCCCAGTACAGCTGTAATAGTCTCAGAAAGAGATAATAAATTAATAAAGGTAGTATGTTAGATACAAAAATACAGACAGGGAGACCTTAGAACAGCCTTCCAATACCTAAAGTATCCAACATGAAATCTAGAGAAGGGTCTTTGACAAGGGCCTGTAGTGACAGGACAAGGGGGAACGGCTTTAACCTGACAGAAGGGAGATTTAGATGACATCTTAGTCAGAAGTTCTTCCCTGTGAGGGTGGTGAGGCCCTGGCACAGGTTGCCCAGAGAAGCTGTGGCTGCCCCATCCCTGGCAGTGTTCAAGGCCAGGTTGGACAGGGCTTGGAGCAGCCTGGTCTAGTGGAAGGTGTCCCTGCCCATGGCAGGGGGTTGGAACTGGATAAGCTTGAATGGTTTATTACCCAAACCAGTCTTTGATTCTGTGACTATGAATATCTCTGATGAGGCCCCCTCAGTAATTTTATGACAGAACTGTAAGGATACAGAGAGTAAATCACCTTACCTTAAGAAGAGGAGACAGAGTAAAAAGAGAAGAAAGATTCAGTGTGATGGGACGTCACTCAATCTAGGTAATTATCCAGTTAGAAGGTAACAGACAGACTTGGGCAAGTGGTGAAAAAAATACATTCTTCACATTCTTCCAGCTCTTCCAAGAGGTTTTCTTGGGTGGTTGAGGGTAGAAAAGACCTGCCCAGTGCCCCTGTCAATGGCTCTGCGATGCGGTGAATGAAGAAGCAGCCCTCCCAGGTGTGTCCCCAGCTTTCCAACCATTCCCAGTTTAACCCAGTTTGCTTCTGCATCTAACATGGCTGTAAAAGTGCTGCTTACGACCAGACCCTTGGTGGAGTTTACAGAAAAACTTTTCTTCAGTTTACAAAGTAAAGCCACCAGCTTTAATTCTCCCTAAAAACCAAAACAATTGAGGAAGTGCACGATTCAGAGTGGCTTGGTGCAAATCTTTGCAAAGTCACAGACACAAAATCAAAATAATTAAAATTATACGTACATGTAAAACAAAAGAAATTCAAGTTAAAACCAGGACTGGATTTCTATTAACCCTAGAGATGACCCAAGAATATGTCAGGAAATAAATAAAGCATTCTAATTGCACCATAAAAGAGGTGCTGCTCACTGATCCAAATGGTTTGGGTAGCTACAGAAAGCAAATGGGTTGGAGCAGAAATGGAAAAAAAGAAAAGCATTTATAAGAGTGAACTGAAATGCTGCAAGGCTGGCATGGTCTACGAGGCTTGGCTGTTACCACAGAGATTCTGAAGCTCCATCACAGTCCGTGGCCACCCTAGGGCAGATTCCATCAAATAATTTGGCCTGGTCACTCCAATTTATGAATAGGAGGGCAATTTATCCTAGAATTCATCTGAGGGAAGACTGCTTAAAACCACATCATCTTCCTGACCTCCACTGGACTGTGCACACTCTGAGGAGGAGGCAGCCAGCACAACTATATCTCTCTTCTTCAACATGTAAGCACAGACGGTGATCAAAACACTTGGCATTTCCACAAAGGCCAACAGTTAGGGTGCCTTAAGTGGCTGCAAGAAAAAAATCAGGCCCACTCAAGTATCTCTTTCAAGATTTGCAACCACAGGAGACAAGGCAATACCCTTGTTTACAAAGGTAGTGTGACTTGTGCTCGTCACTGGTATTTCTGATGCTTTGTTACCAAATAATAATCTGCTTTCTGTTTGCTACTAAGGGCAAATCCTGACAGGTTGGAAGTGTACTTTTGATGCAGCCAGTGGAACAGGAGATGTTTAATGCCCAATCCTGACAAGTTGGAGCTGTACTTTTGATGTAGCCAGTGGAACAGGAGATGTTTAATGCCTGACAGAAGCAGGGCAAATTCTGCAGTTAACGCCATAGCATGCAAAAAGAACACCAAAACAAAACATCCTGAAGATTCACCCTAACCTTCTGTTTCCTTGTCAAGACAGATCTATTTACAGCCAGTACCACAGGGACTAGATTCAAGTGGCAGTGGTGTTATACCCCTATTTTTAATGGGATTTGACATTTAAGGCAGCATTTTGGTTCACCTCTAAGCCTCTAATTACATTTGGAAATCTGCTTAGCAAGACAGCAGCAGAGCAACCCAGGGAATTGCTAAAACAGACGGGTTCTGTTCCCACAGAAGCAGCATTTGAGTACCAAATGATGCTACAGAGTAGACAGTGCAGGTTGCAGGGCCTGACACTTGGAAACTGGAACCACTCATAATCTTCAAAACAAAAAGCAAGACTGCAAAGAACCTTCACTTCATCTTAAAGGCAACACTGCACTGAGTCAGACACCACTGGAGGTCAGGAGCACTTCATGAATACACTACCATAACAGGACTCCTTTCTACTACCTACCAGTTATCCGTGGTTTCACAAGTGCTAAAAGTACCAGGGCAGCCCAAGGATGAAATCATCTGGAATCACGATGGGCCAGTGCTGAGGAAGCACCTTTATGCCTCCCCAACAAGTGCAGGCTCTGCCCAGTGTCTCCTTCCCAAAGGAACCTATGTGGATTTCTCCTTTCATTGTAGCCCTCCAACAACATTTTGAAAGCAAACTGATGCCAAATGCCATGATGCTCAGGACTATATATGCCCACAAATTACACACTCACACATTCTTTATACCAAATTGACACCAGCACCCCCAAAGATGTCACTGGAACTAAATACAATAATATGAAGTACTCAGCTCAGCTGGGACTCCTTGAGTTCTCTTTGGGTCTGGGCCAAAAAAAGTTGGATCTGGATTTTTCATCCATGCCCATGGGAGGCAAAGTGAAGGATCTCCTCTCACAACCCACCTGAGCAGACCTTTCTGCAGGATGCAAATAGTTTCATCCCTGAGTTCAACTTCAAAGGAGAAAAACGCCATCCTCAGCCATCCCTGCCGCCAGGAGCAAAGAGCACATTTTGCACAGAGCACTCTGCTGCAGGAACAAAGAGCAAACAAGTAGCACAAAGCTGGGAGAGATGGAGAAAACCAGGAAGGGGCTAATTTGTATCCTAACAAAGAAACAGAAGGAAACCTGAGGTTTTGAACTACTAGAGGGAGAAAGCTGACAGAAGAAAGTATAGAAAGTGCCCATTTGGGAGCAGCCTGGTCCCTTCATCAACAAGGGTCCCAGACAGGCAAGAAAAATAAATCTAGAGAGTACTAGCAAGTCCAGAGAGTACTCCTATAGAAACAGAAGATCCCTCAAGGCCATTTCAATGACATGAGCAAAGTTTGATATTTTTCTTTTTTTTTTCCCCTCCAGCAGGGATGACACAACACACTGAATATACATACAGTTCTCCTCTCCTCAGCAAGACTTCTAGCTGACTGATGTGCAGTTCAGCTCAGCAGGGTCCTGCCTACCTGCTGCCATGACTCCCTCTGGCCCATCAGGAATACTGGGCTCACTGGAGCACTGCCTGTGGCTAAAACTGGGCTGCAGAAGGAGGCATTTATCAGTAGTATCCGACTCCTCAATCACAATTCCTGTATGCATCATGGAGGCCATTGCCAGAAGCTGAATATCCGAGTGAGCATTGGCAACAGTGTGGCGGCGGATGCTACCGCATTTCTCCAGGTAAGCCTCACCCTCCTGCTCTGTCAGCGGGGTCAGGGCCATCTCGCCAGGCTGCCGGCTCGTTACCAAGTGAGATGGATAATTCGGTGCACCAGTCTTGGGACGGGATCTGGAGTACCGTCTCTCTGGAAGAGAAAAAGGAAGCAGGAAGGGTCAGTAGGGCACAGACAAAGCATTGCTCCAACTCCTAGGCTGGCCTTCCCACCTCATTACTACCAGGTTATGTGCTAGTTAGGAGCTATATCTACTGCTAATGCTTGCTTTCTGGAACAGAGAGGGCTTGGTACGGAGCCACAGAACGTCTCACCTCATTACCACTGGGTACTCATTAGTTATGAACTATTAAGTTAGTTATAAATGATCTCCTGCTGTTATTGGTGAGGCCCTGGCACAGGTTGCCCAGAGAAGCTGTGGCTGTCCCATTCCTGGCAGTATTCAAAGCAAGGCTGGATGGGACTTGGAGCAACCTGGTCTAGTGAAAGGTGTCCCTGCCCATGGCAGGGGGCTGGATCTAGATAACCTTAAGATCCTTTCCAACCCAAACCTGTGATCCTGTGATTACTGTCAGAGGTTTGGGAAGGAGCCACCTCCCATCCTGTGGTATGGCAACAGTGCTGCTGCCCATAAGAGAAGTAATTCAACAACTACTAAGTGCAGCAAAGGGACTTCCTTTAGCATCCTGATGGTCGTCTCTCTCACCCAGCGAGGTGAGGACCAACTAGGAGCTCTCATGTGCAGGTTTCCTAAAGCGGCACAAGTCCAAGAAACATTCTGTGAGGATGTAAGTTGCTATCACCTTCTCTAGAAAATTTCTCACAGGAGATGCCAATAGCTGGTATCAACATGATATTCCTGATGATTGCATTGAACTGGCTCTCCAGCTCCCTAGGAAAGGTGACTCTGCTAGTGTTATCCCACTGCATTTTTAAAAGATTATGCAAGAAAAAGAACATTTCATCTGCTTTAAAACATATTGGGTTGGGGGCTGAACACTGGCAAGACCTAACAGCACACAGCAACAGCCCACAACATCTAGGAGGCAAAGGCACGGAAGAGACAGGCAGGACTTTTGGAGCACAGGTTTAAAACTCAAACCTAAGATACAGTCCCCAGCCCTATATCATTTCAATTCTGGCACTGACAGCTTTAAGAAAAGCACAGGTCTGAACATGTCCCTTGGCTCGCTGTAATTCAGGTTGAATCAGACAGCATTACTTTTCACCTTCTGTCTTCTATTGCCATGCAGCATGCTACGTGGCATTAAACACCTCATGTTTAACTATTCGCAAAGCAGCTGATAAATCTGTTCCCTACCTGTCTTCCTGTTTCTCACCAAATTCCTTGAAGTGCAGGCTCTCATTTCATAAAGCCATAGAATCATAGAATGGTTTGGGTTGGAAGGGACCTTAAAGCTCATTTAGTTCCAGCCCCGTGCCACGGGTAGGGACACCTTCTGCTAGACAGGTTGCTCAAAGCCCACCAAGACTGCAGAGCCTAAGAGACAGAGTAACAAAAATACACTTGTAACTGAAGGTTATAAAAGAGTTTTGGAAGCTTGCATCAGGAAGAAAAGCAGAAAACAAACTATATGTTGCTGCAGAGAGCCAAGTTATGACAGCACTTCACCCAACTGTTGCTAATAATACATTCATTCTAAATGGTTCATTTAATGCTTAAGAATGTGGGCAAACAATTATTGGCTGGTTACAATACATATACTCTTTAGGCATCACCAGCACCTCAAACCACAGCAAGCTGTAGTGTTGGACCTGACTCTTTTGAGGAAAAAAATCCAGAGATTATTTCTGTGCAACAAAATTAAAATCCCTCATGAGAAGCAGGTAAAAATTAGGATGAACTCTGAATATTCACCTATTGCTTTATTTTTCCCCATTTACTTTCTTGGCCACAACAGACAGTCTCTTAAGGGAGCTGTCATTCATAGTGTGACTAGAAATGTTATTTCTATTTTGATGCATTATGGTCAGGAATATAAACTGGGAGGAATTTTTTTAGGATTTTTTTTTGCCAGCAAACTCGAATCAGTAGTGATGTTAGGTTTAACACATTAGGCTTAAAACACAGGGTGGTTGTTTTATCTTTTTCCCTATTCCCTCTACGAACCCCCTCTGTGAGCTATTCGTGTCCCCTTTCATACCTATGCCTGCTGCATTCCTCTCTCACTTTAAATCAAGTTTAAGATACTTAAAGCCTTATGTGCGTCCACAGCTGTGATCAAACATTGTACTTCCCAACACTCATTTGTCTTAAAGGCTTTCCAGTTCAGATGGCTGTTTGGCCTCCACAGCATCTCTTGAGAATCAAGCACCTCCAAAGCTCAATAATCCATTTCTAAAAAGCTAATAGAGGGAACCTACTGGGCTCCATCATCATTAGAGGCTGCCCAGTGAGAGAAGAAACTGGTTCTGAGAAAGTAAATAGGTGACAGGAGGAGGGACAGAGGAAGAGAATGAGGTTTGATTAGAAGTGGGACTTAATGAAAAGAACCAACCACCACAGAAGCACTTTGAAATGCCAAGAATATTTGCAGAGAAGTGCTGCTCTGCTGTCAGTATTGTGTCATGCAAACAGAAGTTCATTCTTTCCTCTTGCTTGGCACAGGGTGGAGTGGGGGCAAAAGGCCACCTTGGAAATACACACAAATAAATGACAGCTAAAATACAAGTAAGTACAACTATATTAAGGCACATAAAGTTTACAAGGCCAATCCATGCAAAAATCTGCTCTTGTCACTAATGACTTGTTCAGCTGGTGGAAATTCAGGATGGTTGGAAACTTCAGTACAGGTCAGAAGGCTACTTTCCAAACTATCCCATCAGCATGCAGGTGTCCATAAACAGCAAAGCAATCAAATTAGTCAAACCTCAACTTTTTAGCCTAGATTTAAGCTCCTGATCAGGCCTACAAATCGATGCTGAGCTGTATAACCATGCTAATTTGCACAAAAGGTATTTAATTGCTTAGCAACCACAAGAACAAAAAGCTGAGCCACAGTTAGCCTGAAATGGTGCCATGAGTTTGTTAGAGGCACAGATCATCTGAGTCATGATAAGTCCTTTGAGTGCAAGACCATCTTTTCTCCTGTGCTGCTAAGGTGTAATAAAGACAGGCTGTGTGCCTCCAGCTTGCTACAGTCTGCATCTACACAAAGGCTAAAGCTTATACAAACAGAGGAAGACTAGAGCTTTCTTTACTTGTTCTATTTAAATCTTCTCAACTATCAAATCAGTACCACTACACCCATTTCCTAGCTAGCCAATCCTTTCTGGCTGGCCATGTGTTTAAGCAGAGCTCACGGATCATGTGTGGAGGAGTTTTCCACAACAAGTATCCATTTCCTGAAGTGAAGTGCCAGTTGTCTCACCTAGACCCATTTATCCACAGTTTATATACAAATTTTATTTTTTTTTTCCTTTTTTTTTTTAAACACTTCGAGTTTCAAGGGCTTGGGTTGGAAGGAGCCTTAAAGCTCATCCAGTTTCAACACCATGCTACAGGCAGGAAGACCTTCCACTCAGCCCTGTTGAATTTCATGGGATCTGTTACTGGTCCACCAAGTGGGCCAAGATGTTTTAGCCTTTGATTTCTGTTTCTCACGGAGCTATGCACTGTCAACTTTCTAGCACTGCCTCACACCCCAAAAAGGGCTTCTGTATGATACATATGACTTACCAAGCAAGCAGGTGCTACCAGAGAAGCCATGATCCTCACACAAACCCAAGTATGGTGATACTACTTGCTTGACGAGTTCTTCCAGCTGTAGGTAGCCCTCACTGGGTCCAGTAGGCTCATGGACACTCTGAAATTCAACCATTAAAAGCAACATTATTCTTACCTACTTCTGAGTCAGGTTTTTGAGTAAAGCCTAGCATCTGTCAAATATCTCTGCACTGGAATAATTCAACCATATCAGTAGACCACATGGAGAAGCACAGTTGATAAGCCCAAATGGAGCTTTTGGGTGCCATTCTGGTCAACCTCCATGTTCAAGTCATAGCTATAACCCCATAGACATCATATACCTAGCTGTCTTTTTTCTGACCAAGGGATAGGTAGGTACAAGGCACACTCACACCAAGGATTTGCTAGTTCTACCAGGAAACAGATCTTCATAAAAAAAGCCTTAAAATATCTTTGGCAAAGCACTGCTCCTTTCCTAGGCAGGACTGCAAGAAAGGCACCTCTGTAGTTCAGCATACAGCTGTGAAGATGGTAGATAACACAAACCAATTTAACAGTAATTTCAGAAACTGTACACGGTCTTAACTTCCTGCTAAGCCTCAGTAAGCTTTTCTTTCTAGGACCCCCTTTGCCCTCAAGATTCTTTTATTAAAATATTTCAGGGAAATTAAGTTGACACTTTAGTATATTCTGCTATTGAAGTCTGGGTCACTGGGAACATCTGAATAGCAAAAACTCCCACAGAAATACCAGCTAAGCCACTTTCAATTTTGATTGCACTTGAGGAAGTTTTATTCCCTGCCACTTTTTATAAGGTACACTGAAGAAGAACTAAAACTGGAAGAAACCCAAACAGCCACCTGGTTAACATGGTATTTTGCAGGACTGTCAGGCTGGGTTACATAAGAAGGTAAACTAGCTGGTATAGTCAACTGTGTTTGGCATGCTTGGAAAATATTCTCTTGAGGTCTGGATGAAAAAGTTAGTCCTCCCAGAAGGTCTGGGAGAGGCCTTTGGAAGATGTATAACATTTTGCCTGCTGCCAAAAGGTATTCCCCCTCTCATGGGAGGTGCTGCTTAGCATCCCAGCCAGCCAAGGCGCTGGTGTCAGTCAGTTGGCAGTCACGGCTCATCCAAATTCCACAGTTCACTGTGACAGACCCTCACCCTGACATGGTAAAGCTGAGAAACGAGGAGAACCAGGGCACAAACAGGACTTCAGAGAAGCTGGGAGATGAAAATACATGTGGGAAAAACAAAACAAAACAAAACAACAAAAAAAAAACAAACCTATTTCTGTTCCTAGCTGGAGAGGAGGAACACCAGTCAGCAAAACCCAGCCCTTTCATGGCAACTTCCTTACCTGTTCCCAGGGAAACTCAGGACATTCAAATTCAGCTTTTATTTCTACACTTAGCACTCCCAAATTAGCACACATTGCTTCCCCTTCATCACACTGTCTTCCCTCCTCACTCTCCTTTCCAGTTCAATGAGATTGAGAGAACCAGGTAGAGTCAGACAAATAACAGAGACTCCCCACCTGCAGAATTAACAGCATCTGGACAATGGAAGCTGGAAGTTTTGTCTGGACCAGAGGAAGAATTTCTTCCAATTTTACTTTTAGCAAGACCAAGTCTCTGAAGCCAAGAAGAGCAATCTGACGGATCGTCAACTCCTGACCCTAAAAAACACAGAAGGCAAAGTCCAAGAATTGGTGAAGGGATGTGTAAGCATCACATCAACACATGTATGCACACAGAGAGAAAGGGTCTATCCTGCCCTTGCTGCTGTGGCAAAGCACTCCCAGATGATAAGGTTGAGGATTCATAGTACTCTTTGATCACTTCCCTCTCAGTCTCCGCCCCACACAAACTCCAAAAAGAGTAACACCTCACCTGAGATGTCACTAGGTTTGGAGTGAAGCCAAAATGGGTCTGTATTTCACCAAAAGACTACATATTCATGAAACTCAACTGCCACCCAATTTGTTCACAAACATCCAAAGGCCAGATGGATGCAGCTCCTGCTTTTGAGCTGAGAAACCAGAGAAGGTCTGGCAGAGAAAGAGGTTGGTACAGAGTATTCCTTAACTAAGCCTACATCTGGCCTGTGCTGGATCCTCTTTCTGGTCAAGGTTGTCCTGGGTTCAGCAGTGGCAGTCATTTTTCTCCTTCTTAGTAGCTGGTGCAGTGTTGTGGTTTTGACTTTCAGCCTGGGAACAGAGCTGATAACACCAATGTTTTTAGTTGTTGCTCAGTAATGTTTACTCTGACCAAGGACTTTGTGAGTCTCATGTTCTGCCAGGGAGGAGGGGAAGCTGGGAGGAAGCAGAGACAGGACAACTGACCCAAACTGACCAAAGAGGTATTCCATACCACAGCACATCATGCCCAGGATGTAGAACTGGGGGCAGTTACCCAGAAGGGCTAGATCATTGCTTGGTCTGGCTGGGTATCGGTTGGTGGGTGGTGAGCAGTTGTATTCTCTTCCCTTGTTATTTCCCTTATCATTATTATTATTGGTGGTAGCAGCAGTGGTTTGTGTTATACCTTAGTTACTGGACTGTTCTTACCTCAACCTGTGGGAGTTACACTCTTTTGATTCTCCTCCCCACCCCTCCGGGAGCAGGGGGGACGGAGGGGGGGAAGAGGGGGAGTGAGACAGAGACTGCATGGTCTGATTTACGGCTGGGCTTAAACCACGACTACACTTTAGACCTTGCTGATACGACAAAAATCCACAAGTCAGTCCATTACAGGTTTTAGGATTTAGGCTACAGCAAAGCTAGCAAGACTGCTTGTACCAAACATCATTTTAAAGAGCAACAGCTTTGATCATATTAAGGAGCAACAGGGTGCTCTATATCCTTCTGGTTACTCTTCTACATCAACAACACAAGTGAGCAGGCTTAACAGATGAAGATTATGTAATATTTCTCAGCATACTTAAACGCATTTGGACTCCATTAGGCATTCTGGTGTTACTGCCTTTCCCTCTGCTATGCTTAACATCCACACGGCTTTCTCTTGCCCCACTGCAGGTTAATGGCAAAACTTTTCCTTCCAGCCCTGCCCAGCAATTTCTAGCCTTAAGAATTTCTCTTGTTCTTCCCAGTACATTAATCTCTACCCCATGGTCTGTTTGGGAATTAATTTATGGTCTCCATAACACACTCAACATGGCAAATATTTAGCTGGAAGGAATTAAAAGCAGTTAATCGTTAACTCATAATGGGTTTAATATCATAATTAACAGCATTAATATGTAAATACATAGTAAATCCAATAGTCTGGAGGGCAGCTCTGCCATAATAAAAGCACTTTGCTGTTTTAAACCATCACTGTATTTGAAACACAGAGGTGTAGAAAAGACTGGTACATATCTCTGAACTATATCTCAACAGCTGCACACTTTTTATTTATATCACGCAGTTTAGTCCCATTAACTTCAAACCCCATTTCAAAATGCAAACATCTCATCATGCCAAACAAAACAAAATTTGCTATTCTTTTTCCACACCAAGTAGTTACATCAACAGCTGCAACTATATGAAAGCCAGTGACCTGTTTACACAGTTTCCCTCTGTACAGCAATTTAACCAACTTGGCTGGCTTAAAGGTCATAGTTCTGAAACAGCTATGAGCCTCGGGTTTAAATTTAGCTGAAATAGGAAGTTACTTCTAGTTACTACCTTCAGTATCATACGCTCACACATTCAGCTGACTTTCATTCTCAATGGGCAGTCCCTGAAACCACAGAAGGGCACAACCAAATAATCACATTGACATTTGCAGCAAAGAACAGGGAACCAACCACAAACTGACTTTCCCATCTTCCAGAGCAGCACATAAAGGAACTGCGGCTTGGTGAAAAAGATTTACTAGATGAGCTCTCTTCGCATGTGGTGACACAATGTGTAAATAGGAACATACAGTATCCTTTTCATAGGAAGAGCCCGATCTTGTTATTAGGGCACTGGCCTGGGATAAGAGCAATTTCTCATTCCTTGCTTCACCAGCAACTCTCTCTGACGCAGCCTAGGAGAGCTCACCCAAATTCTTATTGTAGCATCACAGAATGGTTTGGATTGGAAGGGACTATAAAGCTCATCTAGTTCCAACCCCCTGCCAAGGACAGGGACGGCTTCCACTAGATCAGGTTGCTCAAAGCCCTGTCCAACCTGGCTGTATTCTTGGATGTATTTAGGTGGTTTAAATCCATACATTTATGTAGGCTACAGAGCTTTAAATATACTGTCTGTCACATTGCAGTTCCTCCTCTGTTAAATGGCAATACTTCCCTAACTTCACAGCTTCTGTGAAATAATTCTGAGTGACTCAGATATTGTGACATGACAAATATAGTAAAAAACCTATGCTTTCAAAGAACTTCAACATCCTATAGTAAATCTTTCACCATCTAGTTACTATCAAAACCTGCACCCACTGTGCAGTAACTTTTGTTCAGTTTCTCATTAGAGACACTTAATAGGAGTGGAATAAATTTTTCTGGTAAGTGGCAGAATTATTAGCATCAGTGGGTATGACAGACAAGGGAAGATATTATAATTGTGCAGTTTTACCTGCCAAACACCTACCTTTAAGCGTCTGCAGCAAGGAAAGAATAAAAATAAACACAGCAGAAAGGTTAGTATCTGTTTTTGCAGAAGTCCTTTCTCTTTTAGGAAATGCCAGCCTTAACAGGACTAGAGCAAAAGGACAAGCTTTGAGCTTTACCTGCTGCCTTTCAAACAATATAAGAGAAAATAATTTTAAAGTGCTCTGGAAAGCAGTGTCTTGCAAAAGAGTCAGAAGTCAAGAGGAGGAGGCTAGTGTTTCCAAGAACATCAGTCTCCTCATGAGGTATGGTTTTCTTTTCCTCTCATGGAAAAAAAGATTAAAATAGGCCGGGGAGGTAGCTGCACTGCTTGTATGGAAACCCTGACTAAAACTACCTTTAAAAATGATACAGCTCAACACTTCTGACAGGATACTCAGCTTTCAAAATGTCCAGTAAACAGGTTTTACATGAAGGTGTTCATTCATCCTCTACCCATAGATTTACTTGTCCCCTTATTAAAGCTTAAAAAATCCCAATAGAGGATTTTTCAAAGGCACAACTGGGACATAAGCCCTCCAAAAGTAGTTAGGGTGAGCTAGACACATTTGTCCCTGATCTAGTCTTCAGACTTGTCCCTCTGAAGACAAGTTGTTAGTATTACCATTTGCACCAACAGTCCCAGCAATTTAAAAGCAGAAGAAATAGAAATACGAATGGCACAGAGCTTCAGCCTAGATAACGCATCATCCAATAGTTTCAGCATTAAAGCTTAGCTAAGCACAGAGAGAGGGTAGACAAATAGGAATAAATTCAGCCCAAACTGTGCTTGCCCAGTAGATTTCAGCAGTTCTTCTTACATAGTTAATGCCACTCTACTTCCTCCCAGATACAGTTTAAAGGTTTTTGAGACCTGTTTAGCCAGTGGCCAAAAAGTGCTGCTGAAACAGAAGTTTCTATGCGCTGATAGCAGATAGTGTTACTACATTGCCCCACCTGAATGAAGGCTGAGTTATAATTAAGGTTACCTGGACTGGGTAGAATATTGCCTGGAGTGTAGGAAGAGTCTCTGTAAAATAGTGATCCCAGATTTCAGACAGGACATCAATGCGATCCTCACCTACGAAAACAGATTTGGACCAAGAGCTTTAGCAAAAGGAACACCAAAATCAAGTTGAATTTTCCCACTACTCTCTAACCCCCCAGATAAGAGATACAAACCCACCCTTCACAGTTTCCATCCAAAACTGGACATCACTCAGCTGAGCTTCACCTTAACAGGCAGAGACACAAGACTGTGACCATAAATTGCTTTGTCCCTTACTGCAAAGAAGACAGCTCTATGTGAAACATGAGATGAATTCCAACAACAAAGTGAAACCTCTCTTTAACCAGAGGCTTTAACTCCACAACAAAGGACTGCAAATCTCACAGCTCACAGCGTGCTCAACTAGCATGGGAGCACAGCCATGTGTTAGCAGCTGAATCCGACAACCAGCAGGTAAATCACAGAATCACAGAATGGTTTGGGTTGGAAGGGACATTAAAGCTCATCCAGTTCCAACCCCCTGCCAAAGCCAGGGACACCTTCTACTAGGCGAGGTTGCTCCAAGTCCAGTCCAACCTGGCCTTGAACACTGACAGGGATGTAGCAGCCACAGCGTCTCTGGGCAACCGGTGCCAGAGCCTCAGCACCCTCACAGGGAAGAATTTCTGCCCAAGATCTCAATTCAGTCTCCCCTCTTTCAGGTTAAAGTCATTCCCCCTTGTCCTGTCACTACAGGGCCTTGTCAAAGTCCCTCTCCAAGTATCTTGTCAGCCCCTTTAGGCACTGGAAGCTGCTCTACGATTCTCTCTGAAGCCTTCTCTTTTCCAGGCTGAACAAGCCCAGCTCTCTCAGCCTGTATCCAGAGCAGAGCTGCTCCAGTCCTTGAAGCATCTTCATGGCCTCCTCTGGACTTGCTCCAACAGCTCCTCGTCCTTTTTGTGTTGACAGCCCCAGAGCTGGTCACAGCACTGCGGGGGGGGGGGTCTCACCAGAGCAGAGCAGAGTGTGAGAATCCCCTCCCTTGACCTGCTGCTCACTCTGCTGATGATGCAGCCAAGGACATGGGTGGTTTCCAGGCTGCGAGTACACACGGCTGGGTCATGGGAAGCTTCTCATCACCCAGAACCCCCAAGTCCTTCTCCTCAGGGTTGCTCTCAATCCAGTCTCACCCAACCTGCAGTTGTGCTTGGGATTGCCCCTACACAAGCGCAGGACCTTGCACTTGGCCTTGTTGAACTCCATCCTGTCCAGGTCCCTCTGGATCCCATTCCTTCCCTCCAGTGTTGTCAACCACATCACACAGCCTGATGTCAACAGCAAACTTGCTGCAGGTGCACTCAATCCCACTGTCCATGTCGTTGACAAAGATGTTGAATAGTGCCAGTCCCTACAGCAACCCCTGAGGAACACCACTCAACAACGGTCACCATTTGGACATCAAGTTATTGACAACAACTCTTCGAGTGTGACCATCCAGGCAATTCCATATCCACCAACTGGTCCATCTGTCAAAACCATGCCTCTCCAGTTTAGAAACAAAGATGTTGTGCAGGACACTGTCAAATGCCTTGCACAAGTCTGGGTAGGTGACATCAGGTCCTCTTCCCTTACCCACCAATGCCATAACCCCATTGTAAGAAGGCCATCAAATTTGTCAGGCACAATTGTAATGTCCAACATCAACTGTTCTGCAGCAAACTGAGTCAGGGAGACCACTCACAATGCCTGAGACCCTGCTCCCAAGCACATACATCGTAGTCAGGAGCTTGATGAGCCACAAAGCCACTGCTCTCCTCTCAAATATGGCACTTGGGAAAGTTCCAGAACTAAATCCACTTGTGGTCACCCCTCCTATGACTCCAACAAGAACAAATATCCCCAAATATAAGTGGGTATTTAAAATTAAGGCAGACTAAGTTATGCAACTCCTGATTCCCATAACATGAATACAACTGTGGTCAAAAGCCTATTATTAACAAAAAATGCTTTACTGAACATAATGGTTTGGATAGACTTAAATTATGCGCATAGGCTTGACTTGCAGACCTGTGTGTTCCTCAGCATTTGGGCCCAAAACTTTTAAGTTTCTTAGGAGATCTTTCCCATCCCAAAAAAAGGCCAAAGATTTGCCATGTTTTTCAAGTTTTGGATATATTCCCCAGAAATGTCAGGTGCAAACACAGACCCAGGTTTAACAATACAAGATTCCGACAGAAGAATTTTCCAGGATACCTTCTACAGAGCGTCAGCTGGAGCTCACAGCAGTCAAGACTCAAGGAACAGTAATGGAAGGCAGCTGCTCAAGACATCTTTGAAGGCTCAGCTTCAACATGACTAAAGGCCCTACATGAGAACTGGAACAAAGTACAATTGCAGCTCAAAGGAGCCTTATCACAGTGTACTAAAGTGCTTTCGCCATCTGAAAACTTCTACATGGGCTTGCACTGTGCTTGTCCATGGGTTGCACTGCTTAGGACAAGGACAGAGAGCAGAAAGCCAGCAGGACCATATCCTGTAGAAATTTCTTTCTGAGCAGAGAGCCCAACAACCACCACAGGAGGGTTCAGAGGAAAGCCTCACGGTGTCAGGTATGATGCCAGCCTTAAAACTGCAACTGCAGGCGAATGAGCACCTACTCAACGCCCCCATAACAGCTACCCAGAAACTGCCAACAAAAAGTCAACAGGAAACAAACTAATAGAATGTTTCATTCCCTCCTCTGCCTCCTCCCCGCAGCTGCAACACTTGGGTGTGTGGAGCCAGAAAGAAATGTCATAGATCACTTTTCCTTCTGCAGGAGAAGGGGAAATGGTTTGTTTCTTCAAGAAATCATAAATCCTACAGGCATTGAAAGAGATTCTGACAAGCTGTATAAAGAAAAATCATGTTAAAGTAAGGCTGTGATTTGAAAAACAGACACAGTAAAACGTTATGCCCTGCAGCAGGAATATTATTCTGTTTCTGATTTCTGGGACAGTAGGAATTTTCCAGGAAAACAGAGCTAACCAAGAGGCATGCACAGGAAGTTCTTGTTGCTGTGACCACAAGAGCTGCACCAAACCTACACATTATGAAAGAAAGGTGACCATGAGTCATCTCCTTAAGGTAAAATGCATGAGTCTGCCTTTTTACCTCCATTACAGGGCCACTGCTGAAAAAGCAGGCACCAAGCAGGAGTGGCTGCACAGCTCCTTCAGGATCTGCATCCTACAGCCTGCTGGCTGAGTGGAGCAGTCAGTTGGTGAAGAACGGTGCAGAGGAATCTGGCACCAATAGTGACACAAGATCATAAGTCTGTAAGTGCCTATTGGCATTTAATGACCCAGATACAGCAGGTTGGTGATTAGCAAGGGATCTTCCCTACAGGCTATGAAAATGGGTCAAATCAACCAGCAGCCTAGTTTTGAATAAAGACACATATTCGAGACAGCTTGCTGTGCTTGAGCAAACTGTTAATAAATGTAACTAATCCCACATGCATCCAACAGGGAGTCACCACACCACACTAGCCTCATCCAGAGGCTCTGCAAGCATCTGTAGCCCAGTGGTTTGAACAGAACTCCATGTGCGATCAACTTCTTTCCAGAAGGATTTAATTCCCTGAGTGACTGCTTTTTCCATAAATTTACACAAAACCTGTCAGCTCAGCTCTCAAAAGCATGAGACAACAACCAGAATTATACTTCCATCAACCTGCAAATCACATTGAGAAATAAAAGGCAGAACTACTCTGAGCAGTTCTGCAACAGGACCTATGTCCAGTCCAGAACTGCTCTGAGCAGGTTCAGCTGCCACAGAAGCTGACATTCCTGCTCTCATAACAGAGAGGTAGCTGGTGGAGGCATTGCCGCTACATGGCTATTCAAACAGCACACCACCCCTTAAGCCTCACGAGGGCTGCAGCGCAACCTGCTCCTGACAAGGTTGTGTGACACCCCAAGACAGTACCAGAAACGGCTGTATGCTTTTCAGACATGAAAATCATCTCATCTGACCAAACATCAAAACACAACTCTCTTCCAAAACAGGATTCTTACTATACTTGCCTTCGCACAGCTTAACCTTCTCCTCTACGAACAGCAAGCCTTTCACAAGGAGCTGGTTCTGCCAAGAGAGAAGAGAGATACTCATTTGCCTTTTCTGAGGTTTAAAGTAAACATGAATTTTTATTTTTTTTTTAATGTTAGCCCCTTTGCATGCAGTTATCAAAAGATGAGTCATATCACAGGATCATATAACCACAGAACAGTTTGGATTGCAAAGACCATCTATTTCCAACCCCCTGCCACAGGTATCACAGTATCACAGTATGCTAGAGATTGGAAGGGACCTCGAAAGATCATCTAGTCCAATCCCCCTGCCGGAGCAGGAACACCTAGATAATGTTACACAGGAATGTGTCCAGGCGGGTTTTGAATGTCTCCAGGGAAGGAGACTCCACAACCTCCCTGGGCAGCCTGTTCCAGTGTTCCGTCACCCTCACTGAGAAGAAGTTTCTTCTCAAGTTTAAGTGGAACCTCTTGTGTTCCAGTTTGTACCCATTACCCCTTGTCCTATCATTGTTTGCCACTGAGTAGAGCCTGGCTCCATCCTCGTGACACTCCCCCTTTATATATTTATAGACACTAATAAGGTCACCCCTCAGTCTCCTCTTCTCCAAACTATAGAGACCCAGCTCCCTCAGTCTTTCCTCATAAGGGAGATGCTCCACTCCCTTAATCATCTTAGTCGCCCTGCGCTGGACTCTCTCCAGCAGCTCCCTGTCCTTCTTGAACTGAGGGGCCCAGAACTGGGCACAATATTCCAGATGCGGTCTCACCAGGGCAGAGTAGAGGGGAAGGAGGACCTCTCTCGACCTACTAACCACCCCCCTTCTAATACACCCCAGGATGCCATTGGCCTTCTTAGCCACAAGGGCACAGTGTTGGCTCATGGTCATCCTGTCGTCCACTAGGACCCCCAGGTCCCTCTCCCCTACACTGCTCTCTAACAGGTCGTTCCCAACCTATACTGGAACCTGGGGTTGTTCCTGCCCAGATGCAGGACTCTACACTTCCCCTTGTTATATTTCATCAAGTTATTCCCTGCCCAACTCTCCAGCCTGTCCAGGTCTCGCTGGATGGCAGCACAGCCTTCTGGCGTGTCAGCCACTCCTCCCAGCTTAGTGTCATCAGCAAACTTGCTGATAGTACACTCAATTCCCTCATCTAAATCGTTGATGAATATATTAAGTAACACCAGTCCCAGTACTGACCCTTGAGGCACTCCACTAGTTACAGGCCTCCAACTAGACTCAGGCAGAGACTCCTTCCACTAGACCAGGTTGCTTCAAGCCCCATCCAACCTGTCCTTGAACACCACCAGAGATGGGGCAGCCACAGCTTCTCTGGTCAACCTGCGCCAGTGCCTCACCACCCTCACAGGGAAGAACTTCTTCCCAGTATCTCATCTCAATCTCCCCTCTGCCAGTTTAAAACCATTCCCCCTTGTCCTGTCACTACAGGCCCTTGTTAAAAGTCCCTCTTCAGATTTCTTGTTGGCCCCTTTAGGCACTGGAAGCTCCCTCGAGCCTTCTGTTCTCCGGACCAAGCCCAGATCTCTCAGTCTATCTCCAGAGCAGAGGTGCTCCAGCCCTCAGAGCATCTTCACAGCCTCCTCTGGACTTCCTTGAGCAGGTCCATGTCTTGTAGTACTTTCTTTATTGTAGTACTTTTTATATCATAGTACTTTCTGCCACTCCTACCACCAGACCTGGACTTACTGCAAGTGCTGCAAACTCATTAACCCCTCTTGTTCAGCCAGGCATGAGAACAGAACAGACATAGCAGACAGTTAAACCACTTGCCAGAAGTGGGAAGAAAGGAAGGATCTGTCCTGGGTCACAGGAGACCCAAGAAAATAAAATGGTTTTTATCATGAGTGCACCTACATAAGCTATACCTCAGCCATATGACTGAGGTGATCAAAGGGCCAGACTCTGCCATATATGCCTGTTTACAGTTGAGGACATCTAAATATCTGATAAGCTTTCTGTCCCCATTCCCCCAAACATAAGAAAGGTGCAACACCAATACCTACCTTTTGTTCTCCCAAAGCACTAGGTGTATCAGGCATTCTGAAAACTTTTAAGAATCCCTGAGAAAGGAGCTGCTATCACCATGTAACACGCTATTATTGCATCCTAAAAGTCCAGTCATACCACAGAAATCATACTGATAGGGAATAAAGCCCTCTGTCCCTCTGAAAAGGATCCAATATCAGGGTAGCACAAAATGAAAGGAATAAGAAGAAGGAAACATTGCTCTGTGACATTCTCTGCTTCTACTTGTACTTCACTTTCCAGAACAAAAGAAAAACTTACCATTAGAGAGTCCTACTTGTTAGCATCAGACTTCACTGAAATGTGTAGAAAAGGAAGGGCCTTTCCTGAAACAGTATCTAAACAGGCTCTAGAAGGCTTTTGCAAGTAGGTTGAGGCTGATAGACTAGAGAGACCACCATATATCCTATCAGTAAGGCAACATCTCTGGATAAGTTCTCCACCAGGAGAGTGTATCTTCAAAAATTTGTCAGATAGGAAAATGCTGAAATTAATAAATTCAAGAAACTTCTTTTGCTTTGGAATCTGACCTCATGCAAGGTGAGCTCTGAGACCCTTTGGGCCTGGGTGCCACTTCAATACCAGAGAGAAATCATTCCATTGGCATCTTTGTCAATATTTCAGCAAAAAGAGCCTGGAAGAAAGAACAAGCCATGCAAATCACCAGCTGCTTCCCATGCTGTGGATAGTAGGGGGAGCAACCATGAAAAGCTTCATCTCAAGACAAGACCATATGGACATTGTCTTCTTCATAGTGTGAAAAAAGTGCAGTGTTATACAATGGGAAGAAAATGGGGACCTTCCTGTGGCTGCTGTCCCATCTCATGGCTATTTCATCCACATTAAAACATTAACCCATGTTTTGCTACACTGGCTTGTTTGCTTTAAATGAGCCAGACGTGAGTACTTTTAAGATGCTGCTTAAAACAAACAAACAAATAAAAAAACCCAACAAAAACACAAAAGCAAACAAACAAAAAAGCCAACAAAATCACACCCCCCCCAAAAAAAAACAGAAAAAAAAACCAAAACAAAACACCACCCCCCCCACACACACACAAAAAAAAAACCACACAGAAAAAAAATCCCCCACATAAAAAGAAAGAAAAAAACCACCACCAAAACCCCCTAATCCATATCCAGAGTTCAGTAGTTCAGTCATGAGATAAGGAGGAATGGCCATCCAATTGACCAGTGGTATGTTCTCTTAGTAGCAATAACTGTTAAATATTGTATAGTTCATACAAGGGAAAAACAATTAACGGTCATGCTTGTAATTAAGGTATATTGGCCCTGCTAGCAGGTGGCTTTGTTTTTTTTCATAATTCAAACCTGAAAATATTCCAAAAATAATGTAGATTTTAGGTTCCTTTTATATTAGTTACAACAAAACTGGAGCATTTTAGGAGCAACACATGGGATGAAACTGTACTATCTGAACCACCCACCCAAGTCACAAAACTTTGACCTTTAGTAGCTCTAGCATAGTGTAAAAGGAATCCTAACTATGTGGTACAATCAAGCTGTAAACCAATTTCAGCAGTATTATCCAATCCTGTGAGTTTCAGCGCAGGAACCCCAGCTGACTTGAATAGTCATGCGATCAGAGACCACACTAGAATTGCTATTCTGCACACAGGTGACCATGTGGAGACAGGAACCCAAAGCACTTTTGCATGCAACCTTCTGAACCCACTCACAAACATTAACTGCAGCTGAGAACCTGCTGATGCCAACAGGTAAAAGCAGATCTCTGGCAATACTGCAGACAGCTTTGGTCTTTGCTGACTCATTCCATGATGCTGATGCCCACCCAGGTTAGCAGGAGTGGAGGGTCCTTTAGCAGGACATGCAACACTAAGAGCCTGGTGGTGCAGACCTCCTCCATGATAGTACCTCACCCTGCTTACAACGGCTCATTCAGTTTTAGCCAAAAAGACATACACGGGGTTGGGGGAAGAGGAAGGCTATTTTCTACAATTTTAGGACTCTGGAATTTCACAGACAAACCCCTTCATCCCCTTCCTGCAGAAGCCTGGGTTGAGAAGAAGAGAAAGACAGAGCTCCCAGCAAAGCGTGAGAGGAATGGGACTGCCAGAGGATGGGTAAGCCGCTAAGGGAACATGCCTGGGAGACATTTCATCTGGACAATAACAGCAGTGATGAGCAAGTTGTATAAATATGTTCACATGATGATGAAGAAATACTGCAACATTTCCAAACATTATCAGCTAATGGAAGGGGAATCTAGCAGAAATATAGGATTTGGAGGGAAATATTAAGCTGTTAGGATCTCCATTTGAATTTTAGATTTGGTCGGCAGAAATAAAATGACACGTTAGGCGCTGGACAACAACAACAAAAAGACTCTCCAGGGGCAAAAAACAAAACAAAACAAAACAAACCCAAAACCAAAAAACCCACAAAAATTTGAAAACAGAGGAAAAAGTCTGGAGTGTGAAAATAATTATGAATGGAAAAAAAATGGAAATATTTTTCTGCCTGAGCAATAAGATAATGTTTGGAGTGATTATTAATAAACTGAAAGCATTTGGAAGGACTAAAGCGCTTTAATTCTTACTTTTCATCTCATAGCTCAAGGTAATTATCTCTAATATATTGCAAGGAAAATTTACAGCTGGTCTTTAATACCATGTCATTTTAAACTACTATATTATTAAAAAATATATACACATACATATATGAGAGTGCATTTTCCTTGTGTTTCTCTCAAGAAATACAAATTTCTCCTCTATCTGTACTAGAACATTAAGTATCAATTTCCATGTGTTTCATGAGCACTATGGATTCAATTTTCTGCCTGCATTGCTTGCAAGTTAGTATGATTGATGCTTTCTACTTTCAGAGAGTTTTATTTTATTTTTCGTCTATGTCACCAAACAAAATATGTATTTGTACACCTTTATGGGCAGCACAGTTCTACCTACTAAAACCAGGTATGTTAATCATTACCCTGTAGTAAAAAATTTATAATGCTCTTATC